GGCGGCGCTGGCTGGGCCGCTCGATTCGTAGCGGGGCTGCCGGCCTCCTCGGTAGCCGCCTTTCTGAGGTGTTGTGCTTCGGGAAGGGCGGTGGTGTAGAGCTGTAGCGGCTGTACGAGCTTTTCCGGGAAAGCTTACTGAGTGGGATTTGCCCGTGCGGGTGCTGCAGGACTGTGCAGCTTTGATCGAGGGGACCGGAGCCGCTGTAGGATAGCGTTATGTCTGTAAGCTGCCTCTTTCGAGACTTACTGCCTTACGAATTAAACTGCTTTTGGCTCAAGAAGCTGCGACTTTCTATTGACTTACTTTTTTCTTTCCCTCGTCTAAGATTCTGTTACCTTTCACCAGTGAAATGCTAAGAGAAAGGCTGCAAGAAGGGACATCTGCATCTGGTGTCAGAGCTGCATCAAGGACGTGGGGGGGATGAGGATGAGCCTTCATTCCCAGTCACCGTGCAGGTGATTGGAAGGGTTTTAGTCCTGCTGTGGAGGTGATATTTTTAAGTAGTGCAAGTTTGTGATAACCTTGATGTTTTTTCCCCCTCAGCCTCTGATGCTCCCCAGTAAGTGACAGTTTACTCATCAGATTATTGATGCTAAAAGAAGGGGTCAGCATGGGTAACTCCTGATCCTTACCTCAGAGAGGTGGTGGCCATGGAAAATAAATAATTTCAGAGCTCTTGAGAAAGGACTCTGATACCCTTGCTTGGCCCCTCTGGATTTGGAGTCCTCCATTGCAGGAGGGTGACTCACAGTTGTGGCAAAGAGTCTGCGTATGATAACCGCTGTGATGGTGCACGGAGCAGTCTTGAAATTTGCAGTAGCAAGATCCCATGTCCCTCACCTGCATAGTAGTTTGGCTCTGTAGAGGTGCTCAGACTCTCTGTGTAGTTTGGAGAGAACTTTTCAGTCCTGAGAGCTCTTTCTGAAGAGAATAGAGCTATATTGTGTTGCAGAATAATCCCCTGTTGCATGGTTACAGTACAAAACCAGAGTTAAATGAGCCCGTTGCTGCCATATGTGGTATGTTCTAGTCAATAGGCTGTTCTGCAGGTTACTCTAATACTTTTGGAAATGATTGGTGTGGAAATAGAAAATGCTGGGCCTGGGGTTGCTGCCATTAGGTCAGCTCTGGCAAGAGGGTGGCTTTCAGTCCTGCCTGGAGGAACTGAGCTGTGGTCAGCTCTGAGCAGGCTGCATGGAGAGAGCTGAGCTTCAGGGACAGGTTCGTGTTGTGTGCTTCTATGCTTCGGCAGCACGTGTTGTGGTCACGGAACCTGGGATCCACTCAATCTCTAACATCCCCTGAATAAGAATCATCCTGGCATTCAAGCAGTAGGAAAACCTCCCATGAGGAGGGAGTTGCAAAGTGTTGTGCTAATGACTGCTCACATCTTTTTTTCAACCTCTCTTGCTATCTTATGCTGGCTTAAAGAATGTGGGATGTCTGCTGGTTGAGATAAAGAACAATTAGAGAAATTTTTACAAGGCCATGCTTTTCAGGAGTTGAAATAATTTGACAACAGCTCTGCTCTTAAAAAAAAGAACAACAACCGAGAGAGTCTTTGTTAGGTTACTTTTGCCAAAATAGTTGAGGTGATCATAATGTTGCATTTAGAGGTATTTATGACCTTGACATTTTTATCACAGTGGAAAGATCAAATAAAGCTTTTGACAAAATACAATGGACCTTAATGCTCATTTTGTGGGTTTTGAACAAGCCACACTTTCCACTGCAGTTACATTCTGTAATTGTCTGAAGAGGGTGGACAGGAGGTATACAGGACTGAGAGTTTGAGAAGCACACGTGGAACTTTTTACAAGCCCAGGTTTGATACCGAAATCCAGAATACTCTGCTTTGCTTTTGTGGTTAAGTTATGTGAAATGAATCAGTGGTCTCCATCAGCTTACCGGTAGAGTAAGTTTGTCACTCTGAAGCTGTGAAGAATGTCTTGAAAGCACAAACAAAGTGTAAATAATGCAATGATGACTGCTCCAGTAAGCAAGGAGTATTTGTGGCGTATGGTAATAGCTCAAAGATGTGAAGAGTCCATTAGCTGGAAATAACAGGAGCATGTACTGATCTGTCAGAGCAGAAAAAGCCTGTTTGGAGGAGGGTGAGGCGGGTCTGACCCACCAACACCAAAGCAACCTGTCTGGCAGGGCTGGGAGACGGGCACCGGCTGCCTGACCTCTGCTCTGCCCTGTCTCTGTAGTTAAGGGGCACGTGGAGCCAAGCGCTAGTTTCTATTGTGGCAATAAACCCCACAAGTAGTTATCAACCTGAGTACCAATGGAGCGAATGCAAATGTAGCTGCGTTCCTATTTATTTAAATATTGCGCAGGGTGTATCAGTTACTCAATTTGGAGAGTTAACATGCATAGCTACTGTAATAATTGGTGCAGAATATGCATAGCTCTTCCATTGGGTGACCCAATAATGCCAAGACCTACTTCTCGGAATCTGTGCTGTGATTACAGTTACAGCTCAGAGAGCACAGTTAGTTTCACAAAAGACCTTTTGTTCCTGCCTGGCTTGATTACAGTGATCTACTCTGGGACCACTGATCAAAAAAGCTTTTAACTTGGGAGTTTTCAATCTGTTACTCCATGTTTGGTGCTCACTGTGTGTGTGCAAGCCAAGAGCAGCCTGTTACAAGTAGGGAGTTGTATAAGAATTTGAACCAGGCAGGCCTTTGGCAGTGTGAACTTCAGTCTGGGTCTAGAGATGGGGATGGCTCATGCTACCTTGGTTGATCTTCAGCCTCATCACACCAACCCAGTGTCAGCCCCTGTGGCACGTTGCCGTTTTAACAAGGGAGAGTTCTGACTGCTTTCCTTCCCCCCCCAGCCATTTGCCTGCCACCCCTGGCTTTACATGACTACAGCCTGTGCTCTCTCATCCTAATCCCTCTCCTAGAAACCTAGGTCTGTCCTGCGTGTGTGCTGCTGAGCTTGCAGTGCTGGAGGTGTGGGAGTCAAGGATGTCTTGTGTACTGCTGGCTTTCCCAGAGTTGCTGTTCTTGGTTCAAGGTCTCCTCTTGAAAAAGAGGGTCACCTACTTCAGTTTGTATTGAAGTTTGGCGTCTGGATGTGGGTGGCTACAGTGGGGAACCTGTGTGGTAAGAGTAACTTGGGGGGGGTTGGGGTTGGGGGTGCTCAGCCAGCCAGATTGCTGGAAGAAAGGCATCCCCAGGAGTTGCACGCCTGTCCGAGGGTGACCCTGAGGGGGGCTGCGGTACCTCCTGCATGGGAAGAGCTCCTCCACCAGGTAGTGTGGGCGATGGTGACAGCAGTGCTCTGTTCTCCGGCAGGGATGTGGGATGGACATGTCAGCTGCAGAGACGCTCCTTTGGTGTGGAGCCTGGAGCTCTTAAACCTGAGGTAACCGGACTGAGACCCCGCTTGTTTTGCTGTAACATTTGGAGCCAACTAGAGCCAGAAGGTGTAAAACAGGGTTCATTCTTCAGAACTTAAACCTGAAGCAACTGGTTGAAAACTTCACCATTAAAAAGTTTCACTTCCCAAATAGTGCTGTTCTATAAATATCCTGTGCAGTGGGATATGACATTTACTCCCACACATGAGACACAGCGTGCTTTGCAACTTGCATACTCCGGGCCTTAACCCTTGAGCCCTCTTTGGGTAAACACAAGGCGAGAACCCCACCTCTTCTGTGGAACGAACTTGTGCTGCGGCCTGCGAGCTGGTGTGGGTTGCTGTAGAGTGAATGGGAGTGGAATTGCACCCAGATTTATTGTGCTTAGTTTGGAAATGCTTCTTCGAGCTCTTGGGATATTTCCTGTAGCTAAAGGTCTTGCCTTAGGAATAACAGTGCTTTATGCGTGCTCTTATCGACAGATCTCGGAGCGCTTTCCTGCCCAAACCAAAAGTAGTACTTAAGGTAGTTTGCTTTAATTTCTGACTCCACTGCTGATTTATGATACTTGACAAATTCCTTAGCTCCTTGGTTTCAGTCCCGTGTAAAACACGAGACTGCTTTTCGCCCGTTCTTTATGAGTTGCGTATGTTGTGCATATATACTTGAAACTTAGAGGGTAGGCTCTGTCCTTTGTAGGGTGTGCTGAGGTGCTGATGTTTTACAAATAT